CGCCTCCTGCACATCTCCTACTGGGGATGTGCCCACAACACAGGCACGTGCCCTTGACCGGAATCGAACCCGGGATCCTCCAGTCCGCAGGCCGATGCTCCATCCACTGAGCCAAACCGGCTTTGGCGAGGTCAAGCTTTCTAGTTGTTGGAAGATATCATTTCCCAAATCCTGGAAAGATGTTTTCGCTGGGTCCGGAATTCGGGGATTGCAGTTGTGTTTCAGACCCTGAAAGGCCCCTTTCCCTGCTGCCTTCTGGCTCCATAGGTTTCCTTGGGAAGGTGTGTGTTGAAAAGTAATTTTCCCTCCTCTTCTGGATTCGAATAAGGCTCCACCCCCCACCCCCCTTTTTCTTTGGTTTCTGCAGTTTTATTATGTGGCCAGGTGCGACTTCATTTATCCCACTTGGAACTATTGGACTTCTTGTCTGTGGTTTGGTTCTTTCTTCAATTCTGGAAAATCCTCAGTCTTCCTTTCTTCACAGATGACGCCTCTGCCCCACGCTCTCCTCCCTTTACTTTCTGTAAATCTGCAGGCAGGGCTGTGCTTCTGGTGTCATCCAAGAAGTCGGTGCCAAATCCAATGGCATGAAAATTCTTGCTATATGTTGTTCTAAGAGTGTCACAGTTTTATTTCTTACATTTATGTCTTTGGTGGGCTTTGAGTTCATTTTTGTATACGGTGTAAGGGAAGGGTTTAACGTCATCCTGTGGTATGTGGTGTCCAGTTTTCCCAGCGCCGTTTGTGGAAAAGACTGTCCTTCCCCCACTGAATGGCCTTGGTGTCCTTGTCGAATCATCTACCGTATACAGGCATTTCCTTCTGGACTGATACCGACTAATGACTGGTGGCTCCCGCCCTGGCCAGTGTGGCTCAGTTGGTTGGGCGTACTGTGCGCTGCAAGGTGCTGGTTTGATTCCCAGTCGGGGCAGGTATCTTGGTTGCAGGTTCGATCCCCGGCAGGGGTGGTGCAGGAGGCGGCCGGTCGATGTCTCACTCTCACATTGATGTGTCTCTCTCCCTCCCTCTCTCCTTTCCTCTCTCTCTCTCTAAAAATTAATTTTCAAGATATTTAAAAAATATAGTGGGTCGTGTATTCATAAATGTCGTGGTGCTTGGAGTCATTCACCCGTGATGTGGGGCAGGATGGTTCCCGCGCTGCTGTCCGCTCACTCGGACGGGAACCGAGGTGGCTGCTGTTTCCTTTCACTTTTCCTGAAGCCACGTCTAGTAGACCTGTAGCTGATCAAATGTTTTTCTCAAACTTCTTGTATGTGAAAGTAGTTCACCTGCCACACTCAACACGATTTAGAATGATTCAACAGTGATTAAGTATTAGTATTTTTTTTAAATATATTTTTATTGGTTTCAGAGGGGAAGGGAGAGGGAGAGAGAGACAGAAACATCAGTGATGAGAGAGAAGCATGGACCAGCTGCCTCCTGAATGCCCCACACGGGAGATCGAGCCCGCAACCCGGAAACGTGGCCCGACCGGGAATCGAACCGTGACCACTTGGTTCATAGATCAGCACTCACCCACCGAGCCAGGCTGGCGGGCTTAGTGTTCTTTTCATGTACAATTAATACGGCAGGACTGGATCCCCAACTTCTAGTCCTGCCCATCCCCCACTCTTTTTAAAAAAAATATTTTTATTGATTACAGAGAGGAAGGGGGAGAGAGAGATCAATGATAAGAGAGAATCATTGATGGGCTGCCTCCTGCACACCCCCTACTGGGAATCGAGCCTGCAACCCGGGCATGTGCCCTTGTCTGGAGTTGAACCTGGGACCCTTCAGTCTATAGGCCGATGCTCTAACCACTGAGCAAACTGGCTAGGGCCCACTCCCCATTCTTCGGAATGCACGCATCCTACACACACCTTGTTGATGAATTTCGTTCTCCGTAACGCATTGTTTGTCCTGACTTATTGCCAGGTCGGGACGTTTTCCTCTGGCCCCAGCTGTGTGGACAGGGCCACACGCCCCCTGACCCACCACGGCTCTTGCCTGCATATTCCAGTGCTGCTTCTGTGAGAGCGCCGGCCCCGCGCTGAGCCAGGACTGCCCCGCAGACATGGTGAAGATGACCAAGTCCAAAACCTTCCAAGCTTACCTGCCAAACTGCCACCGCACGTACAGCTGTGTCCACTGCAGAGCCCACCTGGCCAATCACGACGAGCTCATCTCCAAGGCAAGTGCTTC